CACAGTGTTCGGGGTGGGCGGCCGAAATGGCGGTGCCGCAGAAAAAAACTCATAACTCGCTACCAGAGGAGCCCAGAGATGTTGAAAAAGCGTGGAGAGTGAGTGAGTAAGGTTGGCAAGGGGTTGTCAGACTAATTAGGGGAGACATACCCGAAAAGGGCGGGGCATACTTGAGATAGGCGGTGCTTCCCACAAAATTCATTAACTCGGTCACCGAGAGTTTTGTAAGGTTTAGTAATTGCAAAAGAGTCAGTGTAGGAGGGCAACACCTGGGGAGAGTTCGGCATGCCTGAGGTGTGTTGAGACCCGCCCACAAAGGGCGGAGCTCTGCTCTCAATCATAGGATGCGTATTTCAAAAATTTGTAGCCTGGTACCCTATAATCAGTTGGGTGGGGAAACGGTCGGAGGTCCAGCCAACGTGCCCTCTCCTTATGCGCGCCTTCTTAGCGCTGTTGATGAGAACCGCTCCAGTAAGGAAGGCTTAACAGTTGGTTATCACCGCTCCTAATCTGCTTAGACTGTGCCGTTTAATCCCTTCAACTGTGACCTAAAGTCATCGTTCATGGTAGTGCCTAAACATAAAAGTTGTGCACATAGAAGTTCTGAGGTTGAGGCATGGCCAAAAATCAGTTGCACGAAACGTGTTTGATGAACGCATATCGAGGAACATCTTGGGTATCTTCCGCCCTGGTACTCGTATCCACGTCTTCTGTCTGGGCTGCGAAAACTTTGCTGATATGTGACTCGGTCGAAGTGTCTTTTTGCCTCCCCCCTCCCCCTGTAGTTATTCAAGGTTATTTTGCTGAGTTGAATTGTGTCGCTGTGCTACCCAGTCTACCCCTATTGATGTATATGGTGGCAGACGCAGAAAATAGACACGAAAAAACATGAGAATAAAAGCAATCCTGCTTCACAAAATGGGCGGGATTCTCGCGGCGTGGCTTGTTGTCAGGTGTTTAAAAGATGTGATTGGACGGTAATTCTTTACATTCGCTCACTTGCTTTTTTTTCTTGATATTTTTTGTAAACGGTAACGAGCAATAATTGTGGTGAAAATTTCGCACACGTGATACAGGATACAAGTATTAAATTATGAAAAAGGGCGCAGGTGTCGCATAGGTATTTACTCCATTTACCTGTTAGGAGATAGATGACGCATCCCTGACGTCACATAGCACGTTAATGACGTCACTGACAATTATTAATACAGATTTCTCCGTCACTGACGTGTTATATGATGGGTAAAGACCTAACCGTCAACAGCTAACGGACCTTAGCTGAACCTGCGCACTTGAACTACCGAGAAAACTCGCTTCTAAACGAGTATGCATTCAGGATCACAAGGACGGACCCCGTGACCTGGGATCAACCGGGCGGAGGTCCCTCAATAATTCTTCACGTTTCCCATTCTGGTCCGCTGAGCAAGCTTCAAGTCTGGGTACACATTTTCCAAATACCAGTCCATATCCTTGCAATTGAGCCGTTTCTTCAGTTCTAGACCAGCGCTTACATCTCCGAAATCCATCTTTGCTGCCGATGGTCGTGGCTCTCATGAAGTATTTCTCAATAAGGTAGTGTCATTCGATCACGAATCCTGCGTCGTTTCCCCTAACTCTCCATACTTCCCTAGCCATGTACTTTGCTAGTACCACGAAGTGAATTTGTAAGAACATCCGTGTTTGTCTTTGCCACTGTAGGCGGGCAAAATCCCCAATTTCGAAACGTGCCGCAAGTATGACTGCATGGCGCTACCACACTTCGGGCCCGCCACACATCTCCCGCTACAATGGTGGATGTTGTATCGGTGTGCAAGAGATCCGGTCGGGCGCGGCGGCCGGAAAGTGGGTACTGCAAGTGGCGTCTTGTGGGTCTGTTGTTTGGCGCCTGTGTTTGACAGGCTGGAAACCGCCATGCGGCACTTTTCTGGCGGCGACGTCCCACTCGGATTCCCTCTGCGACTCGGATTCCCTCCGCGCTGATGTCTGTTACCCAGAAGTAGTGAGTACGAGCTTACCTTGAGAGCGAGGTCAACATTCTCGCCGCCCCATATTTCCATGCCCATATCATATTCACCCAACGAAAGGAAGTACTCTCGACGAACCGCTAGCAGTCCTCGCACGCACATTCGGATGGCGACCTTAAAGACACAGTCCATGCTCGTTGTATGGGCAGAGACAGTCAACCATTATGCTTTACCCATTAGTGCGCCTTTCCTCTTCACTCTCTCAGAGCGCACCACAGGGTAAGGCGGGATTGACTCCGCCCAAAGCCTCAACATAAAAAACTGTAAGTAGCAAAGGTGGCCTTAAACTCACTCGATCGGTTTCACGTTGTTCTCTTTGATGTCGAAGTATTCCCATGGTATGTAGAGCCATTTGAAAGTCAGCGACCAGTCGAAACCACTCTTTGAGATCATCGCTTTCGTGTATTCGAACGTCAACGGATGAATACGATCGACCTGTAAACCACGCTGAACAAGCACTATAAGTTTGAAAACCTTGGAAGAAATCAATTTTTGTGCAGATATATGAGCATTCTCTGTGTACAGCGATGGGTCATCGGAGTCCTCGGGATGGCGATTGATACGAAGGTTGATCAGCTTTTTTTTTCGAGCTACTTCGGCGGTCGACGCCGCTCCATAGTCAGTGACACTGGCAGTCGTGGTAAAAAGGAAGCAGTCAAGTATAGGATATGTATTGACTTTGGTGTCCTTGGAATAAGAGCCGATTTATAAATGCTGGTAACGCTCATTCGGACGCTACTGACCTTCCAGCGTAGTGGAGGGGTGAGAGTGAGAAGGCTGTTTAAACGCGGCCGGCAGTCTCGACTCTGTGTCTATGAGATGTGATTACGAGACCGTTATGCTCTCGTTTTTTCTATATTGCAACCCACAGTGATCTTGCAGGCGGGGACAGTCAATCATTGTTTTACTCCGATTGCGGCGTCCCTCGTCTCATAAAGTGGAGAGCGCTTTGACGGAAGACACATAGAGCTTTAGATTTTTTGGTTTCTCCGCCCATGTCCGGCCAAAGGGGAGATGTGTCTAAAAATTCGATGCATGTGTAGGAGGTGCAAAGAGGTTTCAATATCCCATCCGAATGCTAAGCAGGTCCGTAATCTTCTTACTTGAACACACCTTTTCGGGTTCTCCGCAATCGCATCCAGCAGTGGTTCTAGCCAACGTTCCGTGACTTCACAATGGCTGTCCATAAAGACGATTACCTCACTGGTGGCGAGCCGTGACGCCAGGGTCTGAAGTCTGAGCATCAGTGTGGTAAGAGTTAGAATGGTGTTGTCAAGCGTTACCTTGGCTCTAATGAGACCTTGACGTTCTTCGCTCCTTTCTATTCTGATTTTATCATTCCAGCCACTCGCTAGGGCAAACTTTCGAAGGTAATCGGAGAGTTTGTGCTCTTCTTCGCTGGCATCTTCATAGAGGATCACTTCGTGAAGTAGATGAGCTGGAGTTCGTTCGAAGATGCCTGCAAAACGCTTGTTGATTCAAGCTGAAGAGGAACAGAACACCATTTTACCAAGGGTCAGGCACTATAAGGGGAGGGGGGGGGGGGCAAAAAAGTCACTTCGACCGAGTCAACACATCAGCAAGAATTTTCGCGGCCCAGAGAGCAAGACCGTGATACGAGCACCAGGGCGGAAGATACCCAAGATGTTCCTCGATAAGCAGGAGCTGGCCCTCGCCCATCACCTTCATGTACACCAAAATATGAGGTCATCTCCAGTCGCAGCTGAACTAGCAGAAGACCTGGAATTCATGTCATCTCCAAACAGCTGCGAAACTTCTAGTATGGAGTCACCCATGGATAGCTACCTGGAGACCAGTACTCTCGATCTGGAAGACCTCCATCATCGAGCAGCTCCGTCAACGTCGCTACGGTCTAGGACATCATCTTCACCGGCAGTCGCCAAGGCGCGGGTTGATGGTATGGACCGGACGTACCTGGAATGGAAAGACCAATATTTTCTTCGTGGACCCAGAGACACACACAGCGGCTGAAGCTGAGCGCTGGCGGTTACATCGACCAACTCAAGAAGAATATTCTCCCCACATGTCGTTGCCCGTACCTTCTTGGAAACTTTGTACTGCTACAGGATTCGGGGTGAGACACCACATGGAATCGAAGGGCGTTGAAAAAACTCCCCTGCCTACTTGGTATGGAAGGGCGTTGAGTACCTGAAGAAGATGGAATATCTAAGCAGGTCACTGAACTAAACCCCCTCAATTACCTGGTTTGGGCGGAGTTCAATAGGGTGGTCTACAGTGGCGGAGAAATCAACGATCTCGCTGAACTCAGGTACTCACGGTCGGCGTGGCAGAATCTCTCGATGGCGCTCCTCCAGAAGGCTGTGGCGGAGTATCATGATAGTATTTGATATGCTCTTTAATATGGTGGTAGAAATGTCCGATCAGAATTAATAAAGTGTAACTTATAGCGCCTCGAAGTCAGATGAAGCAAAGTGACTTTTTTTTGCCCCCCCCCCCCCCTGTACATTATCCCTTACTTTTGCCGGAGAAGATTTTCCCTATCACTTGTCGTTCCTGGGAGGGTCAGAGAGGGATCGGCCACATTAGAATTCTTCGCACTAATCGACGAGAAGATAATTCCGGCACTTTATGGAACCAAATACGATATAATCGATTGACATTTGATTTGAAGTACTCTTGGGAACCTCACCATCGATTTTTATTGGTTTTCATCAGCCGGTACTTGGTGGAAATCAATCGATATATCGATTGACACGGCCTCTCTCATTACAGTATACCTGTGAGCATTCGCAGAAGAACGGATAGAGCCTCGTTGTGATGTATGATGACGACAGATGTGGAGAATTCACCATTGAACGTAGTATTGTGGCATCTGATAAGGGATAAGATCATAATTGAGCATTTCAGAAGTTTTTGAGAGAAGAGACCTCACAGCTCATGACATTGATGACCGAGATCTCTCCTCATACCGAGTCGATCGCTTGCCATCACATCGAAGGAAACTTTTTTGAATCCGAATTGATAGTAGGTTCTGTCCTGGAAATTGGAACTTTGCTCAACGTACTCGATAACTCGGAAAGAACTCTTCTTCGGAAAGCGCCATGGCCCTGGTGGGTAGGTCTGGCAGCCGGATGAGTGGTACCCGCACTTTCAACGCATTGTGAAAGTGCGTTTTCAGCGAAGTAGTCGATGGCTGGGTGGCTCCCTCTGTGCTCCCTACGGCCGGAATCCCTTCAAGTACTGATGCGCATGTCATGTGTCGCGGTCATGTTGGGATTAAGGACACCGCAGACATTCGATGTGCGTGGGTAAGTAGCACATCTGACTGTAGGTGGGCACATGGTTTGGTCGTGTGGCGTGTTGCGTGTCTACGGGCGCTTTGCTTGGAAACGGTCTCATAAAAGAACATGTGCCTATTGCGGTCCTGCAACTTCACTCTGTACGCTCCCAGGTAGCGGAAATAGTACCATTAGTGACCAGCCCACTGTGACCATAGGAATCCCATCGGGAGGTTTCACTTGGTCGTTGGGGAGGCGGCAGACGAATATCTCCACTGGGTAAAAGATGTTGGAAATTTGGTGAGGAGTTTGGGGAATTTGGAAACATGATAGGCGACAAGTAACTTGGGTGGGTGGTGGGGGAGAGTCGAATTGACACCGCCATTCCTCTACTTCCAATGCTGTGGACAAACCGATCCGGCAGAGCTATAGCGATCTTTTGGCTACCTACCTCCCCATTCCCCCTCCCCTCTTCGCCAGTGACGGTTGTATGACGTGACTGTTCTCGAAAAAAAACTTGGACTCACCTCATCGCTTAGTCTTCCTGTGCCGATGTATGATTGCAGCCTTCCATAGTGTATTCCATCCAGGACGTCAGTCTGCAATTCATTGGAACCAGTTTTAACTGCTGAATAAGACTATATGTTGAATATTCAGAAACCCGTCTAAACCACTCCTATATTCGCGTTTTTACTAATTTGAACAAATCCTGGGCGTAATTCGGCTT